CGGGGGCTGTTCCGCCGCTCTCCGGCCTCTCCGCCCTTCCACAGCGGCTCCGAGTCCCTGTCTTGGGCTGGCTCGGGGGTCCAGGGCAGGGAACGGCAGGAGGGAAGCGCAGAACCCCCCGAGGTGAGACCTGGCACATCTCCCGTCATGCCAGGGATGTCGGTCCCGACTGCACTAAGTCCGGTTTCGGGGGAAAACAAAGCAACAAAACAAACCCCCCGCAAACCAAGCACGTAAGAAAAAAGAGGAGAAACCCGCAGCATAAAAGCAGAGCTTACCTAGCTCCGAGACGGCAGGAAGCAGAGAAAACACACATCCCAAAACACAGCGACCAGCCCGCAAAGCCGGATGGCAGGGATGGCAGGGAGCGCTCCCGGCAACCCGGCTGTACAGCCCTGAGCACCAGGTAGGGAACTCTGGCGGTCACCACATTAACATAGATCAGCAGATTCATGTCCCCTCGGCACAGCAGAGCACCCACCCACAGGCCAGAGGGACCCCCGCTAACAAAAAGCCCCCGGCCCTTCCACTGACCCTTTCAAGGGGAGCGAAGAACTAGTTAATCACGTGTAGAGTGATGGAATGTAATTAGAGATGAAGTGACTTTACGCGTTTCTGTGTCTACAAGGAGCACGTATGTTTTGGGAAGCTGAGCTCGCTTTGTTCCGCGACACCCTGCTGCCTTTTCTGCACGGAACTGGAAACCAAAGCGAGTATCTCGGCTCCGTGTGTGGATCGGCTTCTCGCTCACCTGGTGACGGACCCTGCTTTTCGGGACACCAGGTCACGCTGCCTCCAGCTGCAAAGAGGAAGGAAGCCTTTTGTGGAGGGAGACACCTGAGGCAGGCAGCAGTACCCACCAACACTGCGCTGCTGCTTGCTGGAGAGTAAGGGCCTGGAGGCTCGAGAGAACAGCAAGTAACAACTGCAGAAAACAAGCGACCGTGGTCTTGTTCAGTGCTGGAACTAACCCCCTGGTCAGTATCAGGTAATTCTGTCTGGGCTGGGGAAACCACAGAGACACCAGGTTTGTTCCGGCAGCCCAGACAAATGAGGGATGGGCTCTGCCCTCCCTTATTCAGCAGTAGGATCAGGGTTGGATTGTTTTTGTAATTTTGGGGATAAAAAATTTAATGGTACATCCTGCTTATTAGGCAGCGTATTTTAGGTACTGGTCAAGGTAACAAAAAAAAAAAAAAAAAGGCAATTTGCAGTTGGACTATTACCACATTATTCCACTGATTACAAAGTTCAAGACAGCAAACTACTAGTGTAACATTACCAATAGAAAACCTGCTTCCGTGTCTCCGAATGTGAGAAGCGCGTCAACCAAAATGCGTGCATTCCCAGATCTCCTCATTGCACTCATTAGTTATGCTCCTCCTAAGTTTAAATCAACCCCGGGCAGGGGATGGTGGCATGCCAGGTCTGCCTTCCAACAGTAACACAAGTGATGACAGCACAGGTTTTGTGAAATGTCTACAGCACAAGGCTTGATTGGCTTGTCTAAATTTCTCTGGCATGTATAGATTGTATAGCCCAACAAGCAAAATTATCCTGGTATTTTTCAAGTAATCATGCATTCTGTATTCTCAACACTCTGAATACTGCATCTCTGCTGTAAGGAAGTGGCCACATTAGCTTCAAAAAAATTTTGTAGTGGCCTTGGACAAATGTGTTGGACCAGATGATCCTTCAAGGTCCCTTCCAACCTGGCATTCTATGATTCATCTGTGTGCACACACACGAGTGTGAACTTTCTAAAAAGCATCATAAAAAGATTAAAGGGATCTCTAAAGTTAACTTGAAGACTGTGGTGTTGCATGTAGGTACTTGGCAGTGCTCTAGGATCATTTGTGTCTGATACAATACTTCCCCATTTCTTATGACGGTAACTCCCTCCAGCAGCAGCCTCATTAATGCAGTGAAAGCAACTTCAGGTGGACACTGGGAACATGAAGTGTTCTGCAGAGATACTCATTTCACCAAAATCAATCAACAGGTAAGAATCCCATCTCAAAAGGAGCCAAAAGCCACATCAAGGGCAAGTACACTGAACTTTGCACCCCCTGCTTTCACCACCCTCCAACACATCACCCTCCCGGCTGCCAACTGTGTTGTGCCCAGCTGAGGCACTTACATATTTAGCCACGAGTCTGTCTGATCTGTCTTCCAGGAACTTGTCCTGTCTCCCCTTGACCCACATAACTCTGGCAGGAGTTCCCCAGCTCCACTACCCCTTCCTTTGAAGGAAGAGGAAAGCAGCAGGTGAGGAATGTGTATCCACAGGGACTGCTTTTCTCCTCTTAACACTGCACATACAGGTCTGTGTGCCAACAGGTTAATGCCATCCAGACTTCCACTCCAATCATATTTTCCCTTAGCCTTTCCACAAAGTGCTTTGCACGTGAGCACGCTCAATGAGATACAGCTTACTGTTTGATGATGAACCCTGATTGTACCAAATAGAAGGGAAACTTTTTAAATCCCAAGTAAACAGTCTGTATTCTAACACACAACAGGTCTGTACCAATTAAATACAGTATGGCAGTATATAAATTACAGTTCTTTACAGTAAATAGTAAAATCCGAGAGTCCGCTTACTGTACACAACAATCAATGAAAGAACAGCAGCTTGTCAGTAAGGTCCCAGGTATCTCAATCACTCGCTGAGAAACAAAGAAGAACCATTCAGGCCATTCACTTCACTCATTTTTTACCGTGTTACTTTACAAACATCCTGAACACTTGTACAGGCATCTACAGTATCTACATGTGGAACAACCTTCTTAGGAATTCATGAGCACCAGACATAAATCCCTCCATCATTCCCATTATTAAAATAAACTTTACAGATTAAAATTACTTTAGCAGGTTCTATTTCATCTTGATAATAACCAGCAAGTAACAAGTGCAAAGTTTGCAGTCATGATCCATTTACTGCTTCTTCGTTTCCCCATTTCCGCCCAACACCCCAAAAAACCCCAAAACCCCACAAAAACCCCAAAATGTTGTCCTCTAGTGGTAATACTGGTTCTGCAGTCAAACTGCCTGGCTGGCTTCTGTTAACATATGAAATGCCAGACGTAGAGCTTCAGGCATTGTTAGGGATTTCAACCCCATGCCAAGTCAGCACAGTGGCAGGCCTCTAGGAAGACAAAAAAAATACGAAGCAGTTGGATATCTCAGTGTGCTTAAACACAGAACAACATAAGGCTGCATGGTGCCCAGTGACTAAAAGAATCGTGGCACCAAGTTATCAGTTAAAACATTTACAATATAAAGATATAAACAGCATATGTGTCAGTCTAAAACAAGTTCTTTGGTAATTAAGAACAGCAAACCGTAGCTTCCCCCCCACCCCCCCTGCAGGATTTACATCCTGTTTTTTCCACAATAAAATATTTTTTTGTCTGTTTAAAATATATCTCCCAAGTTGTTGTGTAACAAATAGTCCAGTACCTCACTTATCTACAGGTCAGCTTTAACTGTATTTTAGTGTGCAGCCGTATCTGCCCACTGGCAGACAAACTATAGATACACATTCATATATATATATAATATATATATATTATTTATAAAAAATTAGAGAATTAAGTCAAGGACTCTAGAGAATACACATTCCGTATGGACAGATTAAAATGTACAATAGCTTCAAATATCCATAAAATTTTCCACACAGTGATGTGTGTAGTAAGTGCAAAAAATACTGCAGTTTAGTTAATCCAAGATTTCCTGTTCTCCTGTTTCCTAGAAAAAGCAGAAGCCGCCGCATCTCCTGAATGGCAAAGGACTTCTCCTGTTTTAGGAGCAGAGGATGAGCCTTGAAGGACAGAACCTTTCCGTTTCTCTAAGGTGGAAGATGCCTGAGAGCGTGAAGTGCTGCTCCACTTCCTGGTGGGAGCTGGTGCCTTGCTGAGGCGCCCGGGACGAACAAAGACGCCGTGTCGTGGTTTGCAGTGGAAGTACTCTCTGCCTTTTACAGTTCCATCATGCTTCCCTTTAATGAGAATAAATGGCATGGAATTAATGGTCAGCACTTTCATTAGGATATACAACTGAAGTGCTGAAGTGTGGAATATCTCTATCTGTTAAATAATCAGGATTTTAAATGATGAGTGATGAAGCCAGACATGTACCACGCACCAGGGAGGACAAAACCTGGAAAGGTGGGCTTGAATTGCTGACCAAAAAGATGTTTTCCTAAAATATTACTTTGTTAACTAACAGTTTAAAAAAGTCAAGCATTTGTTCATTTTACAAAACAAACTATCCTCAAAGCCCTCAAAGCTCACAAAACTTAACAAGGTGGCTGTTAGGCCGAGTTTCAGTATCAGTGTTAGTATCTATTAAACTACTCAGAACATAATATTCTTTTAAAAGATCAGAAACAATTCTGTAGGAATCTCTTGGCACTTGCAGAGCATTGATGTTTTATGACCCCACTGACTCAAAGGTAAAGAAAACGGTGCTCTATAATCAAGCTTTCCTCAGTGGAGGATGGGAGGAATACACCTTTGAAAGCCACAGACAGGAAGCCTATTTGACAAGTCATGTCCATTGTCAGTACTGCCCACAAATGCACATGTTGATTTTAAAAAATTCTGCCAATGTTAGACTTTGCTAGTTTTTCTGATCTACAAAACCAGATGGGTACCAATGGGAACGACCACAACATGCAAGAGCATTACCCTGCACAAAGAGAGAAGATGAGGGTTTTAAGACAGTTAGAAATTAACCTTTAGCAAAGTATTCCTATATACACAGGAAGCCTAGAACTAGGTGTACCAGATTCCAAGCCTATATGAAATTAGAGGTATTTCCCAAGACTTAACAACATATGATTGTAATTTAAAAATAATCATGCTAACTGCACAGATAACCCAGAGCATATTTAGTCTTACCCAGCTGAACATGTAGTTCAACTCCAACCCAGATTCCAGCTGAAAAATCCACCGTTCCAACGTATCTCACTGTTCCCATCTTATTACTTCCAACACAGACTTGTTCACCCACTGCCACCCAGCTAGGCAAGGCATGGGCTTGATCTGCAGAAGCACCTTCTTCACAATCAGAACCATCCAAGTGGTCCTTCCCAATCAAATCATCTACAGAAGTGTCAGGGTAAGTCTCAAGGTCTGAAGTCTCTTTTACCAGTACAGAACACAGTGGGCTTCCCACAGCATCTGCAAGCCCGTCACCTGCTGCTGCAGAGCCCAGGCAGGTGCTGGGCTCCTTGTCAGTGCCAGGGGGCAGCTCCGAGGCACTCACTCCGTTAGAGGACACAAGGCAACATGACTGGGGAGCTGTCGAGTGGTCAAAGTCCTTCCCATCCTCGACGCCCATGAACTCTGTAAAGGAGTGATCTTCCAGGATGTCCGTCGTGTGCTCGACCGTTGCTTCCGGCGCTGAAAATTCAATTGTACGACAGGTATTTTTGCCATCTGTGGAACTTAAAGCTGAAAACAATCCAGCTCTGGGGAACTGCTGAGAGTCTCTATCAGTGGCATCGAGGGACACTGGTGCTTGTTCCGTTAAGGCACTGTTTTCTTTCAGTGGTAACACAGGTAATTTTTCTTTCACTAAGTCCTTCTCTGACTCTCGACATTCCCTGTTTGAAGAGGATCTTAAATCATGTGCAAGAGATGACCCAGAGGGATCATTAGAGTCCAGCTCCTTTGTGTGACTGGCTAGCTGGTCTGTGCTTTCACTACAAGGAACAAGCATGTCAGACAGAGTAGCATTAGAGGCACTGTGGGAAAAGTAGCCACTAGTAATGCTGCTAGTGGTGGGGCTGCGGGATACCTCTTTCTCAAGAACACGTGAACTCATGAAGTCTGATTTAGAAGAAAACCATTCCCTGCTCTCCAGGCTAGCATTGTAAACACTGAAGTCAGCAAACTCCTCTGGTACATAAGGCCGGAAACTTTGAAAACTTTGTGGACTTATCAGCTTCTTACTTATGGCCTCCAACTCACTGTCTTCCTCCTCAGAGTCCTGCAAAAGAAGAAAGCGTTATGGAAAATTAGGAACCTATGACAGAAATATTTTAAAAATAAATTAACTCTCCTTGATTTTTTCCTTTCTGAAAGTGGATTACTTTTAATATTCTTTGATTGAAGAAAGGAAGACACCTCCAAAAAAAGGTGATGGGAACATATCCTGTCTACACTGAGCTGTTCAGCTTTTAGAAAATGAAGATAAATTCTGAATAGTTCAGAAAATATAAAGCAGTAAAGTCTGGCATAAGGGAAGCTCACAAGATGAAGGAGTTCTATGGTTACGTATTTTCATCATACTCATTTTTTCAAAGCCATGTCATATAAACTTTCCCCCCCCCACGATTTAGACTGCTTACATCCACTGAAGGTATTCTATAGACCTAACTGACCACCTCACAAAATAAATGCACGTATGAACAGAAGAGCCTTTATAGGGTCTCCACTGCAATACTGATTATTAAAAACTATCCTGCACAATGGAATTTTCTATTGATCTGATACCAGTGAGGCTAAGTAATTTTGCTTATCCCTAGCTATCTCACCTGAACATGCTCACAGTGTTTGAAAGTAAAGGCATTTATGTGCATACATGTATGTCTGGAGACAAATAAGCAACACTGCTCAATCTGGCGAAACTTGGAGGTAGCTCTCTCTGAATTCCCTTTTGGTAACAAGTGGTGATGCACTGTGACTGGCCCACACTTACTTATGCATATATATATATTTACAAATGTGTATATATACACACATATGTATCTATTACTACACATATCTATATTTAAAATGGTCAGTATTTCAGAAAAATGAAAACTGCTGAAGTACTTACATTTTAGAGAAACTCAAGCACCTATTATTGCTCAACTCCTTCATCTGCATCATGTAATTTCAACTACTGATTGAGGCAGATCCTGTCTGATATCTTAAGCAGTTAAATGCTTTCAGACACCTGCCATGAACCACTGACTGAAAAACACACTACTTAACCAGACAACCAATGAACTGAGAACCAATACATCAATTTTAAGATAAACACCCTTTGGAAAATGTTTCCTATACTTTGTAATAGCCAAGACTGCTCAAATAACTTTGTACAACAAAGCTTCAAATACACACAGAACAGGTTGTTCAGTTTGCACACGGCAGAGTAATCACCCTTTCAGCTGGAAGTCCAGGACTGTGTCCAGTGGGGTACGTTTTGTGATTTCCAAGAATGGAGACTCCACAACCCCTCTGCACAACCCATTCCAGTGTCAGACCATGCTCACAGGAAAAAAAAAAAAAAAAAAGAAAAAAGAAGTCTTTTTGTCCTTGTCCCCTGTGTTTTAATTTGGGTCCATTGCCTCATCATGTCCTGTCACTGGGCACTACTGAGAAGACTCAGCCTTGTCTTCGTTTCCTCCCACTGGGTCTCCTCCAGGCTGAACAGCCCTGGCTCCCCCAGCTTCTCCTCATACATCAGATGCTTCAAGCTGTTAATCATCTTTGTAGCCCTGCACTGGACTCACTTCAGTAATTCCCTATCTGTCTTGTACTCTGGAGCCCAGAACCAGAGACAATACTCCAGATACTGACTCACTAGTGCCGAGTAGAGAGCAAGGATGACCCTCTTCAACTTGCTGGCAATGACCAGTATATTGTTGGTCTTCTCTGATGCAAGGGAGCATTACTGGCAGAGAAACATGAGAAAAAGTCTAAACATCATTCTTACACCTACTTAGATGCAACACGCTAATCTTCTTAATATTACTAGCTTTCTATATGCTTAGTTGCTTTAGTTCTACGTCATTTTTTGCATGCAAGATGCAAGTGACCATCACACCTGAAGCAACACCAACCACCCAGTAATTAATTAGGGGTATGAGGCTCTGTAATCTGCAATAATTTACAGTATTGATTAGTGATGTGAAAACCTCACTGTGAATCAGTCAGAGCAGGGCAGACAGCTGCAGTGTCACGTGGAGCCATGATGCTGCCCTAGTGTAATCTCTGAACTCATTCCAAAAGCATTATTAATCCAAATGTGTGAAATATATACTCCTAATTAAAATATAGGCTTGCTCCAGCTCTGAAAAATGCAGGATGGCCTGGGAAGCCTAAACTTTACAGAGACTTCCTTCCCAAACTGTTAAAAATACCCAGAAGCACCTGTTTCATAAACCCAATGCCATAAGCTGGCAGGGCTACACGAAGTAGCTGTCTCAGCTTCCTCCCCAGTAGTGGCTCCTAGTTCTTGCCTGCCTCCCCAGTACTCACTCAAGGTGATCAGACTGTGAGATAGATCCAAAGGAAATATAACTCCACCGTGACCTAGACATCAGTTGTATGGATCAGTTCCATTGGTCTGACATATTGTGTCGCTGAACAAAAAGCTATCTTGATGCAAGGGAGAAGTCTGAGCAAGGGTATAAACAAGCTGGAGAACTGAAAGAACAGCTCTCTCCAGAGTCCTGTTGGCTACGGCAGGTTTACAGTGTTCAAGGAACTAGTTCTATTCTAACTGGAAGAGCCTGGTCCAGGATGTTCTCCTTTTCCAGCTCTGAAAGCTTCTGCTTTATCTTTGGAAAGCAGGACAGACAAATGCCTGGGTTAATTCAGGGCATGCATGGGGCAAGACCTTGTTTTTACTCAAGGGATTAAAACTGCCCTGAAGTTGCCATGGAAAATTTGGTAACTATTTATTTTCCTAGGCATGTTTTTCAACACACTAGAAGACGCTGCCTTCCAAATATCAGTGTGAATCAGCATGTCAGCTACCTTATTGAATTACAGACTTAAGGGCTAAGGTAGTAGCTTGTATGCATTTTTGATTAAGGGTTACACTTGCTAAACCTACATGATGTTGTGGAGTCAAGCCTGTTCATGTTTGTTAGAGGCAATGTGTTGGAAGAGGATGTGTCTCACCTGAGAGCCCAAGAAGCAGGGTTCAGCTGGGTCTGTGGCTGCAGTATCAGCCACCCTGCCAGAATGAGGAATGACACGACCCAAGGTGGAAAGTGCACAGTCAGGAAGACTGGGAGCCTTCCTCCAAGAGACCCCTGCCCACCACCACCCAGAGACAGTGCGAGTGTGGGAGTGGGTGTAGCCTGATGGTCATGATTCCAGGGAAATTATTTAAATATTATCATGAACTCTGGGAACTAAGCTGTATAATCCTGCCTATTTTTTTTTTTAGAAGTGTGATGCCTATGTATGTTTTTGTTGTATAAATATAGGAAGTCTTTTGTCTACTGGTGTGTGTGTGAGGAGGAGCGATCCCTCCTGCACCCAGCACTGCAATAAAGAACACCTGCTTTACAGCTCCAGGGGCTAGAGAGCTTCTTTCTTGCGTCCATTTGGTGACCCAGACGGGACCCCCTCTGTCCAGCTGCAGGACCTGCTGAGGACAGGACTCCCTAGGGCACCCCTGAGATTTCTCAGAGGGACTCCTTGACCCACCCAGATTCCTGCAGGGACAGACAAGGACCATCTCAATAACAAGGTATTATTTTCTTTTGTGTTCTATAACTTTGGAGCTGGCTATTTTAATATCCTGTAAGCTGTAGGAGACATCCCACACCGGGGCAGGTACAGGATTCCAGAGATTAAGGTACCCTTTGGTAATTTTGTTTAAACTAGCTGGCAAGGGACAGCTCACTCTCTTGTCTGATGAAACTGCAGGGCCTGCTTGCTCCCTCGTTTTGTATTTTGTAAGTTGGGCAGCAAGGGGCTGCCCCAGTTCCTTCACTTGATGTTATTTTGTACTGGCAAATTGACTGCACCTGAACCTGGTATTTTGATAAGGTTTTTGTGAATTGTTTTAACCTACTGTACCTGTCCTCCTTGTTTTATTAACTGTTAGTAATAAGAATTTATGTTTATGGTGTTTGGTTTGTGCTGAAGTGAGTGTGAAGTGATTGAGATGTGAAATTAAGCATGAAGTGAGTGCTCAAGCTACAGTTCCACTGTCCCAGGAGGGACATGGTGAGCGACAAAGCTAGTGGGGTGAAAAGTCTGAGAGAAAGAGACACACCGCCGCACGAAGAGAGTCTGGAATTCCAACCTGCAGCTCCATTATCCCACAAGGGGTGCAACTGGAGACGAAGGAAGTGAGTGAGATATTAAGTGACACTAGGAATACTTTGAGTTGTATGGGAAAGGGGATGGAGGAAAACAGTGTGTGCACTCTTCTGCTTGGTGGTGTTTCACCAGCCTACCCCTGTCCTTGGAGTAAACACTGCCGTTGAGCGGCTCAGTCGGCGTGTTCCAAGTGCAGACCGAGTTTCCCAGCTGCAGAACTCCCTGTCGCTGGGTTGTGAAGCCTGTGGTCAGCAGAGTGAGCTGCAGAATATTTTAGCACCTATTTGGTTTTGTGTTACTCACCCAAAGGCACTTACAGAAGAGCAGGAAAATCAACTGAAGAATGGGAGGATCACAGAGTGGAGGAATTTTGAAAAAGAGTCTGCTAGGATGCATGTTAGCACATTGAAATGATTTCCAGGAGGGAGCATAAATCAGAAAACTCTAATTAAATGTTGTAACCAATGGTGGCCACTGTATAAACTAGATGATGGGGAAAAATGGCCGGTAAACAGCACTGTGAACTATAATACTTTGCTGCAGCTAATGTTGTTTTTAAGGAGAGAAGGGAAATGGGATGAGGTTTCGTATGCAGACATGTTCTTCAGCCTCAGAAATCACCCAGAGTGGCAGAAGGATTGTGGGGTAAACACACCTCCCCAAGACCCATTAGTATTAGCTCTGGAGCAAGAACAAAACGGATCTAGAGGGCTGCAGAGGTGTTGTTCTGCCTGCAGCACAGGCCAGAGATGCTTAAAAATCAAAGACCCTAAACCTCAGGAGGATGATCTTGGTGAAAATTTGCAAGATTATACTGTTCCACCCCAGTATAACATTCCACCTCATCTGAGAGCTTCAAGCCCTTTAAGCCCACCACAATCTCCTCCAGAATGGGTTAAGGAAGCAGGGGAATTTGAGGGCACTATCTCCTCACCTCCA